TAGCAGTGATATAGCGTCTTACCAGCACGGAAGGCTCATTCCTCACCATGGAGATGATGGCTTGGGTTCATTTGCTGTCATAGCTCTCCAGTGTTACTCAGCTTGACCAGCAGTTCTTCAGATGCCTGTGTTCTCTGACTCTAGACTCTATCATTGGATTGAGTTTTGGTTTTTCAGCTTTTAATGTGTATAGCTCTCTTATCAAGAAGTTGACTGACTCATTGTTGAAATCTGTCCCTTACACTGTCATGAGATAGTTTCTCAAAAATTTGATGCAAAGAACTAAGAGGACTGGTTTTGTGTCAAGCAGTTTTCAAAGAAACTTTGACCTGATAAAAAGAGCTCATGGGAGGATGCTGCAATTAAAGATAAATCATTTGCCTGTTTACAGGGTAATAAGTGGACTTCAAGTCCACTTGTAATCGAGAAGAAGCAAGTTGTATTTTTACACTTGAAATAAGGTTTTGAGGCAAACAAGTCGGTAAACGGGGCATGTGATACCTCGAGATGTTATGTGGCTCTGAGTCATACAGGTGTCCTCGTGAGTCAAGGCAGGAATGTGCTGGTAAACCTCACCAGCTCGAGCACCTCTGCTCATGCTGTGGCTAGGGTGGACTCCTAGCGTGCTGAGCCATGCAAACAGCCACAAGCCAGCTCTGCTCTCAGGGTGACTTCCTCGCAGTGATTCAGGTGATAGGGGTGAGCACTGATCATGTGTCTAGTGTTTTCACGAAACCTTGTATAACCATTTCAAGGATGAGTGTGGCCAAAGTATGATAAGTAACACATCTAGAGCTATAGAAACCCTTCTGTGAAGCTGTGCTGCCCAGGGTCCTTCGTGAGTTATGCTGATGGCTAGAATTTGAGCACAGAAACCAAACACTGGGCCTAAACTTTTAATTAAGAACTCTAAGATAGGATGCTGTCATCTTCACCCATGTTGGTTTTAAACCAAAGATTTTATTGCCTTGCACACTTTTTTCTCGTGTTCACTCAACAGTGAGAACGAAGACATAATTGAGCTGTCCTAGCACTCAGAGCAAGCAGCACAGCCCAGAGCGGACCCTGGGCTAGTCTTTGTTCTACTATAGCAGGAATAAGAGGCTTCCATGCAGCTTTGCTTTTGGCTGATCTGTAGTTCATTGTCAGTCTGAGAAAGCTGAGGCCAGACAAACCCCAGTAAGCAGAATGTGAACCAGATATGGCTTCAGGTTAGATTTCTTTCTTCCTTCCTTCCTTTTTTCTTTCCTTTTCTTTCATTTCTCTCTTTATCTTTCTTTTTTTGTCTCTCTTTCTTCCTCTCTTTTCTCCTTCCTCCCCTTTCTTCCTTCCTTCCTTGCTTCAATAAACATTGTGCACAGCAAGACAGAAGTGAACATATGCACAGATTGACAGGAGCATCTGTCCTGTATTTGGCCAGTGTAAATACTGTTCATTGGAACATGGGGAAAATCAACTGCCTTAAAGGTTTACTATTGGAGGCCACCTGGCGGATCCCTAGTCCCCAGAGAAGGCTTGAAAAGGTGTGTGTGTGAGGGGAAACTGCCTTCCTCTGGCTAAGATATACATTTCACCAGGGTTTCCCTGTGTTTTTGAAGTCTCAGGTTTTATTTGATAAATGCAATGTGCTTTTGAGAACTTCCCAAGTTTTCAAATCAATATGGATATTGATTTTTCCTTCAAAACCCTGGATCAAATTGAAGTTTGTTCATGTTTTTCATGTCAGGAAATAAATAATTATGATAGAGGATAAACAGAAGTAGAACTATTTTTAAAAAGTATTTCTATTTGGGTTTTTTTTAAGATTTATTTTTATTACAAAGTCAGATATACAGAGAGGAGGAGAGACAGAGGAAGATCCTCCGTCTGATGATTCACTCCCCAAGTGAGCGCAAAGGCCAGTACTGCGCTGATCCAAAGCCAGGACCCAGGAACTTCCTCCAGGTCTCCCACACGGGTGCAGGGTCCCAAGGCCTTGGCCTTCCTCGACTGCCTTCCCAGGCCACAAGCAGGGAGCTGGATGGGAAGTGGAGCTGCCGGGATTAGAACCGGCGCCCATATGGGATCCCAGTGCATTCAGGACGAGGACCTTAGCCGCTAGGCCACGCTGCCATAAGTATTTCTATTTGAAAGACAGAGTTACAGCTAGAAGGATAGAGATGCTCCATCTGCTGGTTTATTCCCCAATTGGCCACAACAGCTGGAGCTGAGCTGATGTCAAGCTAGGAGCCTCCTCTGGATTACCTACATGGGCACACTGGTCCTAAGACTTGAAATGTTCTCTGCTGCTTTCACAAGTCGTAAGCAGGGAGCTGCATCAGAAGCAGAGCAGCTGGGACATGAATTGGTGTCCATAAGAGATGCTGGTGCTGCAGGTGGAAGCTTAGCTGCCATGACATTTGCCCCAGGAGAAATCTAAAACAAAACAAAAAAAAGGCAGAATTAGAGGAAGAGACAGAGACCTTCTGTCTGCTGGTTCATTCCCTAGATAGCTGCACTGCCTGGAACTGGGCTAGTTTGAAGCCAAGAACCTCTTCTGAACCTCTCATGTAGGTCCAGAGGCTCTTGGACCTGGACCCTACTCTACTGCCTTCCCAGGCCATTAGCAAGGAGATACATTATATTGAAAGTCGTACCACTGGGACATGAGATTGTGCGCATCTGGGATGCCCTAGCTGCAGGCAGATGCTTATGGTGCTACGCCACAGTGCTGGACCTGATAAGTCAAAGTCTTAATTTAGCAATCCTCTTTGTGAAAGGACGTAAGCTTTTGCCAAACATTTGCCAAGTGGCCCTGGGGCTGACAAGAGGTAGGAAATTCCTGCAGGCTTATTCCTACCCCTTGATGCTCTGACATTTATAGAGAAGCTTTCCTGTCACTGGCCACAAGGCCTGCCAAGCTTAACGGGAAAGGGGCCTGCTTAGGTCTCCATGCCATCAGGCAGTCTTCAGGCCGGGGAGGTATTTCAATGGGTGGGCATTGCCAGATGTGGCTTCCAGCTGCTCATGCTGCTACCCCTGGCCCTCTGTGCTGCCTGCTTCACCTGCCTCCCTTCCCCATCCCCATCTTTCTAGAGCTTTCCCCCTGCACTCTTTGGCAGCTCACTCATAATCAGGAAGCCCTCATGCTGTCACGGCAAGCTGGATAAAAGGCTGAGTTTGGGAGGTGCATAAAATTGCAGCAAGCAGCGACAGGCAAGCAGTCCAGTCGCTGGCCTCCATGCTAAGTGGAACTGATTCTTTCCTGAATTAACGTGGCAAGCCCACTGCAGCATTATGGCTCCCAGGCACAGTTTAAAATCCTGTGTGCCCAGTCCTGAGAGCCATGCAAGGATTTGTCCTAAAACACAAGCTTATTTTAAACAAGCCTAATGTGTAGATTTCCCACATTTTCTTGTTATATCACCCACATTTTTATTAGTGTTTGGCTTACAGGAGGCTCCCACAAGAATCATCTCTCCATGGCTTCAGAGGACCACCCTGGGAGATGGGCCTCCTGCAAGTGCTTGCATGTAGCACGACAGGAAGTGGGTTTGGAGTGTGACAGCTTGCTGTGGGTTGCAAGGTCAGTGCATGGTGCAGCCCAGACCTGAGCCTGGGTCTTTGTTAAGGTGTGCCTCTTAAAGAAAACATCCGAAGAGGTGCCAGGAAAGGTGTAACAGTAACTTAGGAGCTCAAACAGGTTGCACAGATCATTTCTTTGTATTCCACTCCCTCTCCCCTCCCGAACTAAAGCGGGAGACGTCTTGGCGCTTGCCAAAAGCCACAGTGATAAAAGTGGTAGAACCAGGTGTATCATCCAAGAATATCCATGGAAATCAAATGGAAGTTTATTGTAACCTAAACTGGAAATGTAGACAGAATGAAGGAATGAAATCTCTTTCTTAGCTAAGCCTGGTCACCCTCCTCCGCCGGTTGCTTTGGCACTATTACATGGGCCAGTTTTCCTGGAGGTACCAGGGGTGATCTCATCAGCTTTGCGGTCAGTCTGTCTTGGATCTCTTGGGAGCTCAGGATCAAGGTGGTTGCATGGCAGAGTTTGGCTGAGAAAGTGAAGCATGCAGTGATGTCCTTGCATCCTGTGCCATACTGCTGAGGCTGCCCTCTCCTGTGGGCTGTGTTCCCTCCACCCTGAGAAATTTCACCTCTGTCATGCTGTGGAGCCGCTGGCATGATCCTGGCCATGTGGGGGAAGGTCACAGGGTTTTGGACACAGTTTTCCATTGATTTCAAATGCAGTTGTATGACTGAAATTGCCTTGCTCAGTCTTCTTGGCACTGCAGCCATCTTAAAAGAGCTGGACTTAGACTTTTATTTTTGGCCTGGAGGTTTAAAATAGTCTCATGTCCTCACATTTTTCATTGTTTTGAAAACAGAGCCAAGTTTCAAAATATTTTAATTTTCTTAAATTTTTATTTCGATTTTTTCCCTTTGTATACTTGGTTTCAGCTTATTATCTTAATTGTCTCTGATGATTGTTACGTTGACATTTATTAACTATGCACAGGGTTTTGACAGTTTGCAAAATAAAAAGTAATCAGGTTTTTTATCCATTTTTCTACTTTAATTAATTTGTAGTTTCCCTATTTTTCATTCAAAAATAGGCTGATGCATTTGGCGTGAGGATATTTCTTTTTTTCATATTTTTTATTGTATTTTGACAATCTTGAGGATATTTCTTTGTGTAGTTTATCAATCTAAGTATTAGACTTAACCCACTAGATGCAATTTTTTAAAAGATTTATTTTTATTATTTTTTTGTTGGAAAGGCGGATATACAGAGAGGAGAGACAGAGAGGAAGATCTTCCGTCTGATGATTCACTCCCCAAGTGAGCACAATGGCCGATGCTATGCTATGCCGATCAGAAGCCAGGAGCCTCTTCCGGGTCTCCCACACGGGTGCAGGGTCCCAAAGCTTTGGGCCGTCCTCGACTGCTTTCCCAGGCCACAGGCAGGGAGCTGGATGGGAAGCGGGGCCGCCGGGATTAGAACCAGTGCCCATATGGGATCCCGGGCGTTCAAGGCGAGGACCTTAACCACTGCGCCACTGTGCCGGGCCCTAGATGCAATTTATATACTAAACACCTGCAACCTCTATGTAGATTCCTTTTCAGATTTTTGGTTGTTTTGTGGCCTGGAAATGTTTCGTTCTACTTCCATTTTGCTTGCTGAGAGCTCACAAGCATATGAGTGTGTTTACGTGTGTGTTTTTTGGTTCAGCATACACAGCGGGAGGAACCTTTCCTGAGGAGCCTCAGTTCTCCCATGAATTGGGAGAACCATGTGGCTCAGAGAAATTGTACCTGGCTCAGGGCTGCACAGCAAGCAGCCAGAGCGCCAGCAAATTTGACTGAGATGTAGCCATTCCACTCAGTGATTTCTGCTACTCTCGTCTGCCTCTGATTACAGCCCAGAAACAGATTCCAGCATTCATTCATGTGATGCTCACCGCGCACCTGTGGTGTGCGGTGAGCAATCCAGGTGTGGGGAAGCAGCGAGGAGAACAGATGGGGTCTCTCCCACAGACCTGGAGAAACAACAAGTGAATGCACACACACATAAAACCAAGGTGGTTTTCGAAAGAGACTTTCTTGGAAGCCAACAGAACGAGCTGGGAGGTAATGGTGGGCTCCAAATTCATGTGGGCAGTCAGGAGGGGATAGCGCATTCTGTGGATGAAGGGAACTGTTAGGCACTGAGGTGTCAGAAGGCTAAGACATCTTCCAGTTGACCTTGGGAAGCCCAAAACAGTTTCTCCAGGCTGTATTTTTTAATAACAGTCACCAGTCGAATGCTGCTTCTTTTTTTTTTTAATCCAACTTATTTTTATCTGATGTGTTATGTTAAAATCTGCAAGTTGAAGAAATCCGTGTGCACTGTGCTGTTGGACCCAAGCATTGTTTTTCATATACCTTGTTGATTACTTATCTCTTCTAATATATTACACTAGTGTCAGTTCTCACGTGAGATTACTGAGTGCAGAGATATCACCTTTCTACTTTGTCCCTGTGTTTTTCAGTTTTTTTTTTTCTTCAATGATATGTCTTTGCTTCTCTTGCTTTTCTGGCTTTTCTAACCTTGCATTTATTTCCCTTCAGATCTCAACATCTGCTGCAATTTGACTGTTCAGGTTAGTGAAAACTTGCCCATTTCCCAGGTTTGTGCCTCGGGCGGTATTCACCAGCGTTCTCCTACTTGAGATGAATAAGGATCTTTGCTTCTCTGGCCTCTTGTGACTCATTAATGGTGAAGTTAAATATTTACAGAGCACTCTCATCAAAACAAGTGGGTTTGAAAAAAATTTTTGAAAAATAAGATGAGAGAGCTTAGAACTTGACAGGAAGAGAGAACATAGTTAATTCATGAGAAATCCAGAAAACAGATAATTTGCAAATCATTAAACCAAAGCCGAGCTGTTGCCGTTAGAAAGGCACTGCAAGTCATGTGTTCCAAATTAGATTTAGTTAGCCTTTAAAAAAAAATCAGTATCTATAGATAACTCAGCAGTCGTTTTCAGAAACGATGCATAGTTTTCTCCGGCATGAAAGCTGTCCTGTAATATATCCCCCAAACCTCTGAAAAATATTTAAAATTAGTTGGGGAGAAAGAAATCCACTAGCATTTTAAAATCTCTAATTTTAGCTACAATGGAGCAGCAGCACGAATGTGTTTCTGTTAGGCCCTTATACTATACTTGTACTGCTTAACACATCCAATGTGAGTATGGGAAACGCTGGTGAAAACTGTGGACTTAACTACAAAATACACTGGGAAGTTGTGTGTGGGAGAGGCCCTAGCGCCTCAGAAAATGCTGAGGAAGCAGGTAACATAAGGCAGCCCTCTCATTGCTCCACTCTTGGCACCTAGGATGCACCTGGCTGTTAGGCATCCTTAAAAAGATTGATTTATTTAGTTCATTAGAGAGCAATGACTGATGGATTGATCTCAGCTGCTGTTTCATCCCCCCCTCCCCCCCGAACGGCCACAACAGCCAGGCCTGGGCACAGCCAAAACCAGAATCCTGGAACTCTGGGTTTCCTGCCTGGGTGCAAGGTACACAAGCACATGGGCCATCTTCTGCTGCTTTCTCAGGCACATTAGCAAGAAGCCAGACCAGAGCTATGGCATGCTGACATCGCAGGTGGCAGCTTAACCCACTGCACCACATTGCCAACCTCTGTGTCTGGCTCTCAGTGAATGATCACAGATTATACTTGGCTGAGTTGCTGAAGCACAAGCTCTTCTGGTGGAAATTCACACTACTGACACTTTTTATTTTTTCTTTTTTTGTTTTTCTTTGTTCTTCAACTTAGAACTCCTGATGGTGGGAGTTTTCTATCTTACAGGAAAAGGACATAGTTATTAACAAACTTTCTCAAATCACATACATAGTGACAGGCTGAGGTTTAAAATGTTAAAAGTAAAAGTGATCTTAGAATCATTTAAACTAGATTTCATGTGGAGTAGTTTTAACGGTGTCAAAGTGGCTAGCAGGAAGGCCATAGTCCCGCTGAGGTGAACCATTCTCTCTGCCAAGGTTAGTGCTTCTCCCAGCTGCTTCCCCAGCAATACCTGGACACCTGCATGTGCCAGGTGGGCTCACGGATCCCCCACCCCTCTTGACCTGCATGCATGTCTGTGAATTTTAAATGCTTCCGAATATCGATGCTTGGGTTTGTGATGCTTTAGGCAGTGAGTGCTCTTGTATGTTCAGGGTCTTCTTGCTTTAACTTTTCAACCTTCAGGGCCCACTCTGAATTTTGGAACGTGATTTACCTAATAACGTCTTTCGCGTGTCATGCAACGTACTTACTTTCTAAGCTGTGCATCACTTTAACTTTCACAGCATTCACATAAAGTACCTTGAACAGTGTGTCGCACCTGGTTCCTCCCTTTCTCTCCTGAGACAAAAACCCCTAGATCACAAGATTCACCTATACACATAAACTTTCTTAAAAAAAAAAAATGGTAGGTCTGTGCTGTGACAGAGTGGTTTACTGGCTTGACTGCCAGCTGCTCCACTTCTGATCCAGCTCCCTGCTAATACTCCTGGGAGAGCAACAGTAGATGGCCCAAGTGCTTGGGTTCCTGCTCCACCGGGAAGAAGCTCTTGGTTCCTGGTTTGAGCCTGTAACAGTCCCAGCCATTGCAGTCATTTGGGGAGTGAACTGTTTGTTTATCCTTCTTTCTTTAACTCTCCATTTCAAATATACTTTTATAAATCAGTGATATCTTACCTGTAACATGAAGGAGAAAAAAAAAATGCTTGCAATATGTGCTGCAAGGAATCTTGAGGACACCTAAGTGAAATAACCAGTCACAAAAGTTGAAATCGTGTGTGAGCTCGCTTAGACTAGGTCCCTAAGCTCGTTAGGTTCACAGAGACGAAAAGCACACTGATGGTTTCCAGGAGCAGGGAACTGAGAAGACAGGCGGTTATTGTTCAGTGAGTACAAGGCTCCATTTTGGGAAAATGAAAAAGTCCTACTAGAGTTGATGGCAATGGTGGTAGAACATGGTGAATTACTTGATGCCATAATTCACTTAAAAGCGGTTAAAATGGCAGCTTTGCTGTGATGAACATGTTTGAAGAACTGCTGTCAAAGGCAGATGCATTTTACAAAAGCACTATGCATGACTTTTAAAGTGGTTTTCACCAAAATTTATCTTCTAATTACATTTTTTCAATGCACTTTTTAAAAAGACCTTTTGTATGTGGAAATGACAGCAATAAAAGGAAAGTTGAGCTAGGTTTAATCCTAAGAGTTGCTTACTTGTTTGAGAGAGAGAAGATAGGCAGAGCTCCCATGTTCTGGTTCACATTCCTAGTGCCCACAATGGCTAGGACTAGGTCCAGGTCGAGGGTGGAAGCTGGGATCTCCATCCAGGTTTTTCCAAGTGGAGGCAGAGACCCACTCACTGTGGCTGTCAGTGCTGCTCTCAGAACTTGGAGTCAGGAGGCAGGAGCAGGTTTTGAACCCAGATACTCTGGTATGTGGCATGGGCTTTTTAGGCTTTGTAGCCACTAAACTGCCTGACTACCACCCCCCGCCCCCAGCAATTTATACTGTACATTATGATTTTGTAAAAATTATGGGATGATAATAGGGGGGCAGTCAGTCATTAGCTGGTTTTTAGAGCTGACAGAAAAGTTTAAGCACTGTGTACCTGAGAAAGACTGAGGAAGAGAATAGACAGGAGTCTGGCAGAGTAGCTGTCTAGCCAGCATCATTATCCTGATTCTTAGTGTGGAGAGATTAAAGGGAGGTGCAGTTTTCATGGGAGGATCATTTTTTTTTCCAAAGCAAAATAAAGATCAAAACTAAGGTGAATAAGAAGTAATGCCCCAATTCTATGTTTTCCTGAAGATTTAGATACTTCTTAAACTAAGTAAATAAGAATTTCAATAAACAAAACAGTTGACCCATACTTTATTATTAAGGGAGGTATAAAACTAGTTTTGACAGTTTATGAAATATCTGGCTTATTAACATTGCTAGGATCATTAGATAAGCAAAACTAGCAGATTGTCCAACATTCTAGTATTTTAAATATTACTTTATGGAATATTTTTGTTTTTTTAAAGATTTATTTTATTTTATATTTTTATTGGAATGTCAGATATACAGAGAGGAGGAGAGGCAGAGAGCAAGATCTTCCATCCACTGGTTCACTCCCCAAGTGGCAGCAATGACCAGAGCTGCACTGATCTGAAGCCAGGAGCCTCTTCCAGGTCTCCCACATGGGCTGCAGGGTCCCAAGGCTTTGGGCTGTCCTTGACTGCTTTCCCAGACCACAAGCAGGAAACTGGATGGGAGGCAAAGTGCCAGGATTAGAACAAGCACCCATATGGGATCCCAGCACATGCAAGACAAAGACTGTAACTGCTAGACTACCACGCTGGGTCCTATAATTTTTTTTTAATTAAGCTTAAGACTGCTTTTTTTTTAAAAAAATTATTTATTTTTATTGGAAAGTCAGATTTTACACAGAGAAAGAGACAGGGAAAGATTTTCCATCTGCTGGTTCATTCCCCAAGCGGCCGCAACAGCTGGAGCTGAGCCAGTTCAAAGCCAGGAGCTTCTCATAGGCAGTTGCAGGGTGCCAACCTTTGGGCCATCCTTGACTGCTTTCCCAGGCCACAAGCAGAGAGCTGGAAGGGAAGTTGAGCAGCTGAGATATGAACTGGCACCCCCATGGGATCCTGGCGCAGGCAAGGCTAAGCACTAGACTAATGTACCAGGCCCAAAGTATTATTTTTTTATTATTATTATTTTTATTGGAAAGGCGGATATGCAGAGAGGAGAGACAGAGAGGAAGATCTTCCGTCTGATGATTCACTCCCCAAGTGAGCGCAACGGCTGATACTATGCCGATCCGAAGCCAGGAGCCTCTTCCAGGTCTCCCGCTCAGGTGCAGGGTCCCAAAGCTTTGGGCCGTCCTCGACTGCTTTCCCGGGCCACAGGCAGGGAGCTGGAAGGGAAGCAGGGCTGCCGGGATTAGAACCGGCACCCATATGGGATCCCGGGTGTGCAAGGCAAGGACCTTAACCACTGTGTCAGGCCCCAAAGTATTATTTTAATACTTTCTTATTTTAGAAGAAGGTGCATCTTAAACTTCTAAAATAAGCTCATTTAAATTAGACTTTTATTGGTGCATCTGTTGCCTTTTGGTTATTTTGCCAAATTTACATAATCCAACCATTGGTTACAGATTCCATGCCTACCAATACATGCCTGTGCATACATATAGCAGGTCAGTGACTGTCACCGTATCAGTCCAGGAGTAAGATTAAGGAGCGCTTCCCTCTCTTGTTTTTCATAAGGGCCAAACATGAGAACTCAGGATGCCTGGGTCACACCCAGGAGCTTGCCTATGCAGAGTCTTTGCTAGCCAGTCCGTAGCTTCAGAGTGCTCTGCGAAAGTGATGGGGTGGGCTGGTCATGCAGGTGGGTCGCAGGCTAGTGGAGCACCTCCCACCTCCAGGACCATCTCACCATCAGCCCACCTCACCTGCCACTTTCACAGGTGGCATAGTGAATCTGTTGTGCAAAGAGTCAGGCTCAGAGAAGGAAACGTTTCAGAATCCAATGTGGGCTCAGGAGCAGCGGATGAAAAGGTAAATGAACCAGCCGATTAAACACCTTTCATTGTTCAGAAAGGAATGCAACAGTTTTTAATCAATTGTGAAATAATGTGGTACACAATGGACCTGGATCAGTACATTTCAAATTCCTTATATATAAAAAAGTACTTAAACTTCTCATATTCAAGGTTATTTAAGCTGGCATCTATATGTTGGTTGTGGTTGACCCCCCCCCCCGAACATGTTATAAAGAATGGGCTACTTATTTTGTTTTTCTAATGCAAAGGAAATGATTAAAAAAAAAAGCCAGGGAAATATAACAAGCTTTGGAAGAATTTGTATGGTTAGAAAATCACAGTTTTCAAAATTGGAGCCGTCAGCAATGTCTTCCTCCTGAGCTGTTCCGCCACTTTTTGATGGCTGTTAAATAATCCCCATTCCAGAAAGCCTTCCTTATTTCTCAGGCTTGACTGACTCGGGTCTCCACATGGTCAGCCGTGGAGGCAGCAGTAGGTACCAGCACTACAACCTTAGTCCTAACAAAAAATATTTCAAAATAGCCACTGGGCTCCCAGACGACCTGAGCGCTTGGTGCTGTTGGCAAGCAAAGACAGTTTTCCTGTTAGGCACAACGTAGAGGTGTTTTTACGTCAGCACACAGTCGATCAGTTTGAACAGGCAGAAATGATATTTGGGAGCTGATCTAGTTCTAGGTATTTATTAATGGACACAAAATCTCATTTCAGTGTGTGTGTGTAAAAAGGTCTAAATTTTATGTATTCAGCTCTATAGGATTAGTTTTCTTCCACCTTTAATTCACTTGAGCAGCTGATGTATAATGCTGATGCAAAACTTTGTAAGGAATGCTCTACTTGTTTTAACATACTTCCTTTTCTTCACACACACACACACACACACACACACACACACACACTCTCTCTCTCTCTCTCTCTCTCTCTCTCTCTCTCTCTCTCTCTCTCTCTCTCTCTCTCTCTCTCCAAGGGGGAACAAAAGAAAGAAAGGCAACAGATGATTAAAGTGAAAAAGGAAACAAGCAAAATCTTGAATTCCATTCAGATTTTTGTTCATCCTTCTTTGAAATCGGTAGTATAAAGTTTTAGTTTGCAGCAGATTTCGAGATTATCCATTAACCTACCTAACAGGCTTTCTACTCCCTTCCAAAACATACCTCTGTGTTTTTAAAGGGGCCAGGCTCTTTACCCCTGAGTTTACATTTTGAAAAGAGTGTGTCTGG